ACTGACAACAGTCCGGGCAGGTTAAGGCAGCAGTACCCGAATGTGCATCCTAAAACAGGATGTGGGGTGGGCCGAGCTGCAACTGGAAGGGGGAAGACTGGGCAGGGCCAAGCAAACCTTAACTCATGAGGAAGAACAGAAATCAGGATGGAGGACAGATCATGCTGAGCTAGGCTCTTACCCCGACTGGCCTGCATGAGCCAGGGATACTAAGAAACAGCAATAAAGGCAAAGGCCAAGACAGGTGAGGGGCTATGCCAAGCTGGATCAGCAAACACTGGCATGTGTGCGATCTATGGTTGGGAACAGGCCTGAATGGGGAGCTAAGACGACACCCAACTGGGTTGGGGTTTCCACTGGTGTGTGTGGAGGCTGGAGTTCTGGTCTGGACATGGCTGCAGTATCCCTTGGCACAAGCGTGGACTGGGGCAGGGCTAGACGCCAGCACCATCTGGTGCTCTGGAGGACCAGGGTAGATGTAGCATGGACCAGGCTAGGACTCTGCCCCTACTGAGCCATGTGTAAGCCATGTCTGCGTATGGATGAGCCTTGGCTGGGCTGAAACATCCAACAGTAAGAACCAGAATGGGTTGAATGCCAGTCAGGAAAGGCCATTGTTCCTGTTAGGACAGAAAGTGGACTAAGTAGGGCTGACTCACGGACCCACCAGTATGCATAGTATCTAGCAACGGGAGAGGTTCCAATGGAGGAACCTGGGCAACTCCTCTGGCAGGACGTAGTCTCTACAGGTGAGTGTAAAAACCACGATAGGGAGCAGCCCAGACCAGGCCAGGGAAAAGTACCCATCAGCATACATTTGGCATAGGTCGGGGTCATCTGCTGGTGAATCTGAGTACCAGAATGGAATGCAGGTCAAGCGAAGTTGAGCTGTAACACAAGCCAGTTCACATGAGGGTGGGAAATGGGTACAGGTGGGCCATATCAGACTGGGCTGCAGCAGCCAACCAGCACTGCTTAATCTCTTGTCTGGTTAAATCCTCTGCTCCTGTAAGGCCATCTCGGTCTGAGCCAATGAGTGAGTCCCACTCTTGACACACTGACTTGCACTGCCATTGCTGGCTGTTTGCATCTTTGTTACTTTGCTTATTAACTCTGACATCCACGACAGGAGACGGTTATTTATGACCTTGTCTCCTTCATGGATAAGGACAGTGTTTTACTTAGCCTATTTATCCTCCAAGGCATTTAACAATTTGCATAGCCAAATTCAATAAGCTTTTATCCGATCTGAAAGCCATGCTTGGTTGTGAAAATGCACATAATACATGAGCTAAGAGGAGTCTTTTCATGGTTCAATGAAGACTACTATGAAAAAATCTTGCCTGAGTTTCAAAACCCAAGAAAGACCACTCAAAGAAAACCACTTATATTTTAATCCCACATTTCCAGAAATTTCTTGAAGTACCTTTGTATAACAGCCTGTTTACAAGGAACAAATGAGATAACGTGTGTAAAGGGTTACTAGCAAGGTATTAATGTACTGTTAACAGCAGCACCTTATGCTTCCTGAACGCCTGCCACAGGCCCAGCATTGCATTGCATGCTTTAAAAAGAGCACTTAACATGGGCGGGCTGGGCATGATAAACTTTCACTCCCCTAGAACAGAGTGGATAAAACATAGCTGATTTTTAATGGCTGCTGAAGAAAAATGGCTCTGATAGGGCAACTTCAAACAAAATGAATTGGTCATATTACTAAAAGGCTGACGACAATAGACAATACAGTTTCTAATACTTTGCAACATAGTTTTAAAGACTGAAATTAATACGAACATATAGGAGAAACCCCACATCTTAAAAATGAAGTTTATATTAGGCCAATTTGTATCCAGTGTTCAGAATTATGAAGGGATAAGATGGAGAACTTGTGTAAGATTTCACCTTTGCCACTCACTGGAAACTGAAAGAAAAGGTGCTGTGAGGGCTGAGACAACAGGACAGAGGGAGAACACGGCAATGCAAGGTGTGTTTCTGGTTTGCTTTTACCGTAAGAGGGGCTCCCCATCATGCAATCGTGAAGATCTGGGACATGCTGAGCAGACCACATTCAAAGCTATCCAAAGCGACTGAGGCACAAAACATTTGAAATTCTTGCCAATGTCAAACATTGATTGCAAAAGTCAGTCTCATCTTCTTTTCATCAATTTCATGATAATAGAAAAGGACATCTGAAACAGTGAAAGGTCCGGAAATGTACCAGGAAAGAAAACGTGACAGGTAAGGCAAGGCACAAGGCAGGCACTCGTGTTCTACAATAAAGTTACTCAGTTGGGCCCAGCACAGTACCCTAGTGTCTAACATCCTTGCCTTGCATGTGCCAGAACTTCACATGGGTGCCAGTTCATGTCCCGCTGCTCCACTTTCCTACCAGCTTCCTGCTTGTGGTCTAGGAAAGCAATTGAGCACAGCCTAAGGTCATGGGACCCTGCATCCACATGGGAGAGAAGCTCCTGTCTTTGGACTGGTTCAGCTCTGGCCATTGTGGCCACTTGGAGAGTGAACCAGCAGTCAGAAGATCTTTCTGTCTCCCCTTTTCTCTGTAAATCTGACTTTCCAATAAAAATAAATAAATCTTTAAAAAGTATTCAGTCATTGAAATATTCAAGTTAGTTCCTTATATGCAACAGCATGGTTGGGTCAAATGAAAAACAAGTTCAATTAGATATTTGTTCAATTAATTCATCTTGTATTTTACAGAAAAATCTTCTGTTCATTCCAGTTTAAGAAGAAAAATGAGAAAATAAAGCACTAAAGACTGGAAAGGCAAATTTGCCAAATATAGTAAATAAATGGTTTTCTCAAGCTTTATTATGTGAGTCATTTACAAAGAATATAAGAGATATCTAAGGAATTAAGTAAAATTTAAAGGCAGATGTTAAAGCCCCTCTTGGCAAGTCCAGCTTCCTGATATCATGCCACAAAATCTGTTTAAACATAAGGCTATACAAAAACACAGAATTTTTAAAAATGACAAAAATGGAAGATAAATTATTTGCAATGATTTATGTGTACAAAGGACAGTATTTACACAAGCTCTTCTTTAAAATCTGTATTTGTAAAGGCACCAAAACATTCTGAAAATGAATCCATGACACTAACGGTATTCCCTCCCAGAAAGACAACTCCCTAGACTGCAAGCCTGAGTTTATACATCATGTGGTTTCCATCAGCACAGTAGTGACTTCCGATGCTGTGGAAAGATACAGGCCGAATGGTGGCGTCCTTCAGTTCAGACACGGGGCTGGGCTCATGCTTCCAACTTCTAGCTTCTACTCCCTAGACACTAATGCCACTTAGTATTAGCCATACTAAACAGAGTAATATATGTAATGCTCTTATGTCCAAAATAAAATCGGAGAGACTCACTTTGACTACCACAGTTGAATTCTGCTATAAAATGCAAAAAAGAATATAACTATGATGTTTTATTAGCAGTAACTCATGAAGGAAAGATGTTTTAATGCCCTCGAGAGTAAAAAAGCCATAATTTCAGAATCTCCAGTTTTATGAATTAAATAAATTTAATTCTGAATGAAAGGTGTTATAATGTCCTTATCTGTCCTCTGGGGTAGGACCATAAAAACGTTCATCCCATGTCAGCACCAGCTCCAGTCCAGCATCTTGCAGTCATTAACAGAGGATGCAAGGTGTGCCAGAAGCCCCGTAACACATCCACCACTACAGTATCCACTTTCTATTCAGGGTTATTAAAACAAAGAAAATGGCAATAAACTCTCTGAAAATAATATATTCTAACATAAATTTAGAATATTACACACATGATATAGTATCAACATCTAACCTATGGTTTTTCCCCATGATAAAGTTACCGAAATGATGAATAGTTAAGTTGAATTTCCATTTTTAATATTCTTCCTTTGTAAAAAAGTATACTTATTGAAAAACAGTTCCTCGGGTACTTGAATTCATGATCGGTTGTCTTCCGAGGTATTCAAAACATTTCAAATTCAATGTTATATGCATGAAACAGTATTGCGTAAGTGCAGATACAAAACAGACATTAATTGTCTATTATGAAAAAGAAAGTGGATAGAAAAACACAGATAAAAGTTACATCCAACTATTGATTGATTAATTAATTACATACTACCACTGGTTAAACTTAAATACACCTTGAAGATGACTTTTTTTTTAAGGGTCTCATTCATCCTAATAATATTCAAAGTTTTTAATAGTTAAGAAAAAGTCTAACAACCTTTGGACCAATCTTACTTCTGGAAGAATTTCTCTTTTTCTTTTTCCTCCTTTGGAAGAATTTCTTAATACAATGTTAAAATACAACCACCTCCAGGAAATATGCAAAAATCAGAAGTATCCATATATTGGCACCAGAATAATAGAAAGAGAAAATCTTGAACATTTTGATTTTGGCTAAAATACATCTTTAGTGGTACTAATAGGGTTCAAACTTTGTGTAAGAATTTTACAGTGTAGTGGCTAACCATCACAGGCTGTGAGGCACACCGTATATGAACCCTGATTCCACAGCTTATTAACTGTGCGAAATTGGATTAATAAGTTTATCTGACTGTGCCACATTCTTTAAATCTACAATGGGGGACAGTAAGATCCCATTCTCACAGGGCTGGGAGATTAAACAGAACCTTTAAGGTTCTTACAACAAAGCCTGGTGACCATGCTGGTGTCAGCCATTATTATTACTGTAGAAACGGTTACTATAGTAACATTATTATTGTGCTGTAACCTTGTTACTGCTATACTTATTGCCACAAACATGAAAACTGGCTGCATGTATGGAAGACAAACCAAAGACAATACATTCAGGTATCCTACTTACCAATTTCTGACGTGGTTTCCCAGGTAAGAATAAGTAAATAAGTAACCTCACGATAAAATATATCAGTTTTCTCAGCCATGAAAAGCAGCAGCCATGTCTGTATCTTACAAGCCCCTAGGAAACCTGGGCTTCAGGAATGTTCTTCCAAAACCAAACTCACCCCTTGTTCATCCAGTTTCATGAGCTGTTCTGTGACCTTGGGGGTGTTGAAGGCCAAGCGCAGGCACTGGACGCTGAGCTCAGGAATCACGTGCTCCAGCACTTCCTTCAGAGGCAGTCCTCGGGCTGTCGAGTGCTTGGCTGTTGAAGGAATGGCATCCTCCAGGACCGAACCCCTTAGGGTCATGAGCTGAAAGACAAGCAGAGCAGTGGTGAGGTCTCCCTGGGGCTGTGGGGCAACTCAATACTCCACACATACTGTACTCCTAACACAGTAGCAAGTAGTAATGGAACTATTTGCAACCTACTCATTTGGTGAGTATGTGTTCCCTTTCATTTATGTATAGTCTCTTTCAAATAACAATGTACAAAACCCATCTTTCTCCTATTATCATTTAATGCAATAGGAATTGTTTTTCTTCTGTTTGTAAGTCATGGGAAACAGCTGAACAACTCTATAACTACTGGACTCTTTCTTTCATGGGATAATAACATGCTTTTGATTAGGGCTTCTAAGCCTGGCAGTATTCTCGTTTTAGAAGGCAGGACCTGAAATGGGAATCATGGCATCCTGTGATGGCCATGAACTTTACAGAAGTCAAAGGAGATGAGAAAAATAGTGGTTTATGCTTATATCCAAAAAAACTATGAACTTCCAGAAACAAGGAGAGAGCCCACATCGGGCCTCATGTGTGTATATCTGAAAACAATTATGCACTCTAAGACTATTCAGAAACAAGCTTTTTTCAGATGTCTGCAAGGTCATTCTGATTCCTTTTTTTGCATTGATCATTTCTATTGCAAATGAGTTTCTTGAATTTCTGTTATCTTGATGCCTTTTATTGAAGTTTGGGAGGGAAATATTGTTGATGATGTTTGTTTTTTCCAGATGTACGTCCCAGCATGAGTCATTAGTAATATGAGAAGTCCTAGTAAGAAGTCCTAATTAAAAAACCAGTCTTCCTTCTATTGACCTGGCTTCAACAACAGTGAGGTGACTCTGCAAGGCTTAGGGAAGAGACTAATACTTGAAATATTTTCCTCAGGGGGCTTAGGTCACGACACAGTAAGTTAAACTGCTTCTTGGAATGCTTGCATCCTGTATCACAGTGTCTAGTTCAAGTTCTGCTACTCTGCTTCTGACCCAGTCTTCTGCTACAACATCCTAGGAAGCAGCAGGTGTGTCCATGTAACCCACATGGCAGTCATGGATGAAGCTCTGGCCCACCCTGACTGACTGCAGGCCTTTGGGGAGTAACCAGCGGGTAGAAGATCTTTATCTGTGGCTCTGCTTTTCCAATAAGTAAAAATTAACAACCATTTAAAAAGTGTACAAAAAGAGTCCTAAGTTTTTCTCTACGAAAAGTCTCATACAATTAAATCTGGACTGTTTGTTGAAAAGGAAAACATTACACAAGTGTTAAGAGCAATAAAACACCGGAGTAAGAGGTAGGAAGGACAGGATGAAAGAGAGCTGGGAGAACAGCAGAAAAGGAGAAAGGTTTCTGTGTTAGGTATTGGGTGTGTAGTAACCAACACAGATAAAATGTCTCCACCCTAATGGGGTTAACTAATACCACAGCCAGAGAAAACAGGAAGCAAAAGTAAGCAGGTACAATGTCTAAAACAATGTTAAGCACTAGTGAGAAATACAGCATGCATTGGCTATAAAACTGCAAGGGAGTAGAAATTTTAGATTAGGTGGCAAAGAATAGCTCCTAGAATTTATGACTAAAAGGCATAGGGAAATGAGAAGGCTGGAGCCTCAGGGGCAGGGTGAGGAACAGAGCCTCACAGCCTGGAGGCAGGGCCAGTGGCCCAGAGGGCAAAGGGGCCAGTGCAGCAGCAGAGGACTGCCAGGGGACAAAGAGGGAGAAAGAACTGGGGAGCAGGTGTGCACAGCTTCCTAGGGTAGCAGGGACACTGGCTGCTCTGCAAAATAAAAAGCTCCTTCTCTTCCCTGCCAACCAGGAAATATCCCAAGTAACAGCTCAGAACACTGAGCTCAATCTCAGGTGACCCCATGCTTTAGGATGCCTGCTGTCCTGAGTAGAATGTGCCATGTCCTAACTGGGAGTCTTTTTTTTTTTAAGATTTATTTATTTATTACAAAGTCAGATATACAGAGAGGAGGAGAGACAGAGAGGAAGATCTTCCATCCGATAATTCACTCCCCAAGTGAGCTGCAACTGTGGGATTGGCCGATGCTGTGCCGATCCAAAGCCAGGAACCAGGAACTTCCTCCGGTCTCCCATGTGGGTGCAGGGGCCCAAAGCTTTGGGCTGTCCTCTACTGCTTTCCCAGGCCACAAGCAGGGAGCTGAATGGGAAGTGGAGCTGCCGGGATTAGCACCAGCACCCATATGGGATCCTGGTGCGTTCAAGGTGAGGACTTAGGCCGCTAGACCACGCTGCTGGGCCCAACTGGGAGTCTTTAATTTGAGAGGCACTTCAGCCAGAGTTGGAGCTAGGACTGGGGAACTGAATGCAGGTCTCCCTTGTGGGTGGCAGGAACCCAAGCACTCAAACCATCACCACTGCCTCAAAGTGTGTGAGTAAGCAGGAAACGAGTCAGGGGCCAGAGCTGGGATTCAAATCCAGGCACTAGGTCTTGGGACAAGGCATCCTTAACACTGGACCAGATACCTATCACCCATTTGCCATTCTGAGGGCTCTAATGTCCGTGGGCCACTCTAAGCAGATATGCTCTTAATTAACATGCACATTCATTTACTGCACATATCCAGAGCTAAATGGAAAGAAAGGATTCCTATCTATCCATCTTGTCCACTCTCATCAGCACGGAAGGAAAGAAGCCTTTGTTTATTTCAAAGACCCCCTTAACCGCATGCTATTCAACAGTTCTGCTACTGCTACTATGCTACTGTTTCCTCACTTCAATTATGCCTCAAATCTCTCATTAGCAACTTACCTCACTAGTTCTAAAAATTATTCGGTAGTTGTACGGAGATCCACTTTCTTTCATTTCTTCTGGTTTTTCCCTTCGAATGCTCACAGCCACTGGACCAAGATTCTCATCAGCCCCAAAATAATTCCAGTGTTCTTAGGTAAAGCAAGACAAAATAAAATTAGGAAATTTAGCCAACACTTTGAAAACATTAGGTTCTGTTCAGTATTTAAGAGCATCACCACAAAATTATATAAAAAATGTAAACATGTTTAACAGACATTAATATTCTTAATGAATTATAAAAATAAGGCTGCCAAGATTTTGTCCCAGAGACAGTAATGTTGATTAGAGATGTCCTGCTGTCCTCTTATTACCCTTAAAAGATTCTCCTACTATTTCTATATCCCACTATTTAAATAGGCGATAATGTGTGTGTCAGATTTTTTCAGCTTTAAAAAGAAAAAATCCTAAATCTCTTGAGAGCACAGTTTGAAGAGAGAGGGACTCCTTCCAGATTAGAGTTCCCCGGACTAGAGAGGGGGAGGGGAGCTGACGGCAAGGACTGCGCTCTACTCTCACAGGGCTCAGGGAGACAGGGGCTCTAAAGCTCCCCAGGGAGGAGGTGGGAGAGCTGAGTGCTGAAGCTCCCAGGAAAAGCGTGGAGGCCTGGAGAACAGGCATCTCCTGGGGAACCAGTGTGACCCCCGAAGCTGACAAGTGAGGGCCTCCCCTTGTACTTCACACCCCAAAACCCCAACCCTTAGCTCAGCCTTGGGAGCAGGGGCAAGGGTCCAATCCAAGTGACTGGTGTTGGACATACCTCCCTCCAGACAAGAAGGTGGAGATCCAAATTAAGTTAATTTACTGAAAGTGCTAAAAAGTGGCACTGATTGTACATCTGAGTACGCACTTCCTTCAAATGGCTGATAAATACTTAAGAGGTTCAATGATGAGGAAGTCCATAAAACACAGAAACATCTGAAAAGCTAGACTGGATAACTTACTTTTCAAACCCCCTCAAACACTTACTTTACATTGAACTGTTTCATTTACATGTAAGATGGCAAGATGATCAAACTGTGACATGGCATGTTATTCTTACACAAAAATGTAGATATTTGAAAATGTTATTTCCATACAAGATATATAAGTATTTGAAAATCCATGAGAATATTAAGAATAATGTGAAATGTCTCTAAACAGGCATTTTAAAACTTTCATAATTTATAGGTAATTAATTTGTAATACTAAAGCACAACTGGCAAGATAAGTGATCATAAATAAGGTACCTTCTAAAAGACATAATCCATGGAAATTCAAAACAAGGAAAGCACAATGGGAACACAGGCAACAAACACCCCTGATGCGGACAACTGAGGAACATTCCATAAATGTCACGAAACTCATGAACACCCTCAAAGCACGGCACACGAGGACCACACTCAGGGGTTATGGACTCTTACTTTGCACACAACTCTAACAAGCTTGCTTGCCTGGTCTTCAAGCCCACAGCTTTTATTCAGAGGTGGAGTAACTCCAGATGTTGACAAAGTCCAAGGTGTAGGGCTGATACAGGCTTGCATGCAGACAGCAATGTGATTGACAACTGACAACAAGGAGAAAACAGAAAGGGAGGAAACAGAAAGAGTATAAAAAAGCGGACAAGGACTTAAAGAAAAACAAGACAGCAGTCTGGGGCCATCACTGAAGGAGCCTAGGGTACTTGAATGGCTTGCCAGGATGTTGTAGCCCTTCTGCACGCAACAGCCAATGCATCACAGGTACCTGAGTCTGGATCACCTCATTCCATTCCTTGAACTTCATGGACTCAACCAAACACTGACTCTCTGGAAGCTCTTTAGATCGCCCTCACCCACCTCAGACAAAGCCAAATGGCACTGTTCTTTTCTGCCAGTGACAAAATTCAGCGACAGGATAGCCACTATAAATTTATGCTCGTAACTCAACCTCAAGCACTCCCCATTCAGCTCTTACTTCCACAGAGTTGATTTTTCAAACATTCTCCACTTATGTTTTTATCTTTCTCAATCTCAACAAATCACAGTGCTGCCTACAACACACAAAAATAAGACACTATTCCATAAGCAAACTTGCTCAATCTCTACCACCCTCTTTCTTCCTCTTTCCTCTTCTCTCACACACACACTCACACCCTACATCCAGATGGCTGCTTTCTTCTACTTAAACTCCAAACTTTATCCTACCCTACGTCCTCAGTCCCCTAGCCTCTACCTTCTCAGAGACGTGGAAGCCTCAATCTCCCTGTTTTCTTCAACTTCCTCTTCTCTAGCTGCTCATTATTATCATCATCATCTAATCAGGCTCATGTCTCCTTCTTTAAATGGATGACAGTATTTGAAAAAGTTAGTGGAAAATCAAAAAGCAAGTTTATTGGGGTATAAAATCTTTTTAAATCTGTGTAAAAGCGGTCTTTGAAACTTTGCAGTACGTACAAACTTTTCATTTTTCTGCATCAAAGCAATTCCTTGATTTCATTTCCCTAAGAAAAAAATTTGAAGGACCTCCTACCCTAATCTGTTTCCCATAGCATCCTTCAGAACTGAAGCATGAACTCTCCTTTCACTAGGAATTTCTTCAAGAATTGTCCAATCCACCTTAGAATTATTACAGTTTGATTCCCACTACACAAGTCAGCAACAACAACTGCCTTAAAGCAGATCTTGCTCCACTTCTCAGAAACATCCCGCATTCGGAATCCCCTCCCGTTTCTCAGCTGGATGGCATCGCTCTTCCTAACTTGACCTGCACCACTCCAGCTGCTCTTGCTCAGTCTCCAGTCCTCTTTACTCAATTCCAACCATCTGCAGAAACTCAACTGCCAGCTCAAAGGGAACAATGTTCTGAAGACCACAAGTCCAGTCCATTCTTGTCTAAACCCCAGAACTACCCCCACAAGGGCGTCAGCAGAACCCTTCACCTGCCCAATTAAGCCTGCAGTCGCTACTTCAGCAACCAATACCACACTTACTCAGGGACTCATACCATCTCCACTGCCATGGCCTTTAGATGCATTTGTTCCCAAGTACCTCTACCATCTACTTTCTTAGCTCACTACCTCAGATTTACCCAACTCATTATTGGCCACAATGTGTTTAATAACTAGTTTTCGTTCATCCATTTTGTTCACACAGTAGCCAGACTAAAATGCAAATCTAATCAACTACTACTAAAATTAAACTCCTTCCCTGGTTTCCTCATAGCCATCAACATTCTATTATTCCAGGCTCAACTCTGTCTTTCAAATTCTGACAACCAACCATATTGAACTTTCAGGTGCTCAACTTCACTATGTTCTTTCTCATTCAAAAACCTTTGAACACTCTTCCCACTAGTATTTTTTTTTAATTAAGTCCTTTTATCTTTTAGTCTCATGGATATCATTCAGAATCTTCCACAAGAGTGATCAAATGAAGAAATACTACTATTTTATTGTAAAGAGTTACAAATTTCAAATCAAAATCAATGAATCCAAATATTTAATATATCTCAAATATAAAACTTTAGTAAAAGGCAAAAGACTTATACGGTCTGAAGAGAAACCAGAGTATTAAATACAAAACACTAGAAACATAAAACAAAAATCGAATTTATAAGATATAAACATAAGTCACTTTATTATTACATGAAAAATAGAGACATTGTAAATAAGCTAACATAACATTAAAAATGAAGAATACATTGCTTATAATAAAACATCACCTAAGTCCTTTTATGGAGAATCATCATCAAAACCCAATTGTCCTTACACTTCCATGCAATTTTACCTAGTTGCTAAAGTAAGAGATTTGAGATGGAAGAATGGGGATATTATAATCATAAAACCAGCTTTAAACAAAACCATCTCTGGGTTGCATGGTGATCTTATTGGCTTTGTAAGTATTTGTGAAGAAGTATCAATTTTTTCCGACTGGTTCTGGTTATTATTTGCAAACTAGCATTTCCTGACAATCTTCACTTACATTGGTTCCCCCGGCACTGACAGAGAAGCTGGCCCACCATCTTGAGTTCAACCCACTACTCTCATGCCTATTCCCAAGGCATTTCAGCTTGAATAAGAGTTCATCATACTAAATAAACTACTGGTTGTCTCCAGATTTTGTTTTGTTTTTCTGATCTTAGCTAAAAATTATTGTAGAAGAAAACAAAAATGCCTTCCACATGAACACAAGTTCCTTCAACTCAAAATCTAAAGGCAGTGTTGTAACCCTCTGGTAATTTGGGTCAGTAAGTCAATTGAACTTTTGAGTTTTCAACTTTGAACTTGAGGTGCAAGAGCCTGTCAGAGACATCCTTGGTCTCACCCTTCACCCTCTGTCCTCACTGCTGCACCACCTCGTGGGAGGCTGCCTCGCTCCACAGATGCCTCACTACCTATAAGGTGCGTGAGCAGGGAGCTGGATGTGAAGTGTAGAGCAGTAAAGATTTAACTGGGCACTCCAGTGTGGGATGCAGGTATCTCAAGATATCTGGTTTAGTTCACTACACGGGAACACTGGCACACAGCTGTACAGTTTTAACAGGGATGGTTTAGAGTGCTAATAAGTGGTTTTACTATCACACAATACTCCACACAAGTAACTGTGGTTCTGGCTGATCACTTTATAATCCTGAATAATGCAAATTTCAGATACTCAGAGGAGAGAAGGAGCAAACAGTTCAAAGCTGTAAGTAATAAGAATACAGTCAAATAATTAGATTGTAAACAGTGTGCGAATGCATATACACACATCAAAAGAAGGAAGTCTGGCATCAAGAAAAGGAAACCATAATCACAAATGTTATAGTGCTTTAACCAGAAATTTCTGGATTGTTCACTTTGGTCTTGTAACATCTGTGGGCTATGTATTAACATTTCAGCTGTATGCTTCTCTAAGGACACCAGAATAAGTTGGACTAAGTGTAACTGTGCACAGCCAAGATTTTCACTTTTCACTTCTTATAAATAAATAATTCGACCAGTTGTAATTTATGACTTAAAACATCTCTTCATAATTGCTTACTTAAAATTTTAAACAGGGAAAACAGACATCATAAACACAAACTGCAGAAGCACAAAGCAAATAAAACAGCACTATCTGACGTCTAACACAATTCACAATGACTTTTCTGA